TCCACTTCTTATTCTCTGACTCTCTCTGTATCTCACTGTCTTTCTTTCTGTCTCTGTTTCTCCATGTTTTTCTGTCCCTGTCTATTCATCTCTGTCTGTCTGTCTGTCTGTCTGTCTGTGTCTCTGTCTCTGTCTCTGTCTCTGTCTCTGTCTCTCTCTCTCTCTCTCTCACACACACACACACACACACACACACACACACACACACACACACAATTTACTCCCACCATCCTGGACATCTTTGTGTGGAATTTAAATGGATGACCAAAGATGTACTGTCAAAGGGACTCTTTACACTACACTTTTCTCGTGATCCTTAAGAGTATGACAGCCATTGGATGCTGTTTCATCTGCTGTATCTCATTTTGGACCTTGGATTTTTCCCCTGACAAACTACAAGACTCAACACTTCTGCTCTCTTGTCCCTCTAGCTTGTCCAAGATAGTCTTTGGTAAACAATACATATTTTATTTATTCAACGAGGCCACTGGACATCCACCCAAAGCTACTTTAAACTTTTACAGTTTCAACATGTTAATTTATGGCAGGAGGTTTTTTTTAACTATATGTGTGTGTGTATATGTGTGTGAGTGTGTGTGTGTGTAGATTCAATGTATAAAAAAGTATAATTGTTTTCTTCAATGCTCATGGAATTTAAAGTACACTTTATGTGAGGCATAAGATGGAAAGTTAAGAATAAATAAGTTACCTTGATAAAGATACCATATGAATACTAAACCTTTAGCTTGCCTCCCACACTATAATTCTGATTGTTTCTAAGCATACTTGGGCTTAGGCTTCTCAATGTATTAGCTTATGCCATTATATCAATTCTATTACCTTCAATGTTCCTTTTAAAAAGTGAAGATAAAAATGAATTTTAAAGCTGAAAACTGGTAAACCATGATAAATACAAAGCAAGATTAGGTTAAGTGTCTACCCACCTGACATTGGAAATCACGAATCCCCTAAAGGGTACAGCTACAGTTAATCCTTCTCCTCCACAAATGAATCAAAGGGTAAATCATCTGCTTTTTCCGACTCAAATATCTTCTTTGACCTTAATTTTTAGGTAGCACTTTCACTGAGGGATTTTTAAATAAGAATCAAAGAAAATGGTCTTTACCTGATTTTCCTGTTCTTTCTGAGGCCCAGGCAGATGACACACTGCCAGCCATATTCACAGCCAAGACCCTAAATGCATATTCTGTGTGTGGCTCCAAGCCAGAGATGGATATGTGGACTTGGGGATGCTGGAGCATGTTCTCACTCTGATTGGCTGACTGTGAAGCTGAGTGAGAACTGATCAAACCATGACTCTCAAACACTAGACTTTCTTCAGTGGATGACCGTCTCTTCATGTATAACTCATATCTTATAATTATACCTAGAAAAGAGACAGTAAATTGAAGTGACCAAGTCAAAGGGGTTATTTAGGGACTGATCATTTAAGGTTGTTTGCTTTTCAGCATTCTGACTATATTATCTGTGGATTCTTGATACTAATTTAGATGAAGAAATTTAGAGAGGTATATGCCTAGCGTATGAAAAAGCAACAAAAATGATTGTAAACTATTGTGAGAAACATATTTTGGAGAAAACAAATCAAAGGAAGTATAAATGCAAGACAACCCTAGTTTATCCTATGTAAAATATAACATTTTCAAGATGGATATTCATAAATTTCTGCTAAAGATGTTCAATCCTTTTGAACTACCTGCTTATTCCACTTCTAGGATTCGTATTTTGAAGTTCTGTGAGTTAATTACATATTTGACATAAGCCATAAATGTTGTATAGCTAAGTTGTATCCAGTCTTTACCAAGAATATAAAAGTTTGATGCAAAGTTTTACCATGCTATGTGCATAATATAAATAACTAAAAATCTAGGAATATGTGTCTGACCCATGAACTCTGAGGTTCAATTTTAAGAACACAAAAATTAACTTAATGGAATCAACTAGCCTATATACAACTTTTTTTGTATTATTTTATATTTTTTTCTTTCTTAAAAGAGAAAATGTTCTACTTTCTGGTGCCCTACCATGACTCAGTCAAATATAATGCGTTTCAGCAGCGACTGTCCAATTATCAACATCATCTGTGTTGTGGCAGATGCCATTAAGAGCAAAGATAATATTAGCCTTTTAAAGAGCAATTTAATTGAATGGAATTCGTTCTTAAATTAGATGAAATACCCTCTTCCATATCCAGAAGAAATAGCATTTTATATCTTCAGAAACCTTTTCCCAAGCAAATATCGTATATTCATAAACCAAATGGAGTTGCCAGTCTTACTACATAATTCATCATTTCTACTGTTTTGGTTTTCTAAAAGAAAGAGAAGTTTAAACCTCGAACTCTTACCATTTGGATCCACTGGTGGAGACCATTCTACTCTGAGTTCTGTGGGACTGATTTTCCATACTGTAGGTGGCCCCTGCCTTTGGGGAGATGCTTCGGCTGTGGTTACTACAATAGGCAAGCTGTATAAACATCCCCCATTAGTACAGCCCTGTACAGAAAAACAGTACTGGGTGAATGGAACCAAATTCCAGATGGTAGCTGAGGTTTCTGGACCTTCATAGGAGACACAGAGTTCAGTGCTGTCCACAGGTGTGCATGATAAAACATATTTCTCTACAGTACCAGAGTGGTTGGAGAGTCCAGACCAGGTAAGTGTAATGGAGTCCGAGGCAACAGGAATGATGTGAGTCAAGTTCAAATATCCTTCTGAGACCTCTGGCTTTGTCTTAAAAGTGACAGGTACGCTTCTTGTTGAACTGTGCACATTGGAGGTCTCTATAGAATATGAATATGCTGTGTGTGGTGACAGACTAGTGTCTAAGAAGTACTGAGTATCTGAAATAAAAAGCGAAAACAGAGAGTCAGAATTAACTACTGTCAAGGATTGCAATTGCTTGATTCTGGTGCTCTGTGATGAGGTAGTTCACTGATCAAGTCCTGCAAATAAGAGTGTGTTTGATGCTTTTCCAAGGGAAACCAGGCAAATGCTGGTTGCTTTTATTGTCTGTTCCTGTCCTTGTTGTGCTCTTCATGGGCTCCCTCGATAGAAGAACCCAGAGGAAGTCCTTGCAATCTCTGAAACACATATTTGCTTTCAGTGTAAGTGGTTTGCTTGCCAAATGCTGTTACGTAGGTCCAACCCTCTGCAAACTATGACCTAGCACCTGGTCTTTCTCCTGCTTAATACTTTCATGACTTAATAAAATGACATACAACTATAAATGTGTTTTGCTAAATCCTGGAGAGATTTGTCAACAACAGAGGAATAGTAAAAGAGAAGACGGGGATGTGCAGGCTCTCTATGCATGAAGGACAGGGGTATCATGGAGAGGAAGGCCAAAAGCAAAGGTTATAAAACAAGAAAGAGATAGATCGGGGCCATGATTAACCATGTGCCTGCAACCACCATTCTCTGCAGAACAGCAAGCACATTGCAGGCCTATGAGACAAAAAAAAAAAAAATGCCAGAGGGGCTGCTGACTGCTTCCCTGTGGGTTTGTGTGTGAGTTGGCAGAGGCTCCTGATACAGCACTACTGAAGGTTTCTGTATATCTAGATGCTTGACATATGATAGATACCTAGAGTCTAATTTTAACCCACAGAGGTTCTTGGTTTTCTGTGCTGAGAGACCATGGATGACCCATGGGGCCTCTTTTGGTTGTGGCAAGGTAACCTTTAAATCTCTGAAAAGGCTAGATGTGAGATGCGGGGCCCAGGAGGGGAACATTCACAATGTAGTAGAGTGTTCACAAGAACCTGATTTCTGTAGAATAAGCAACTTCACCTGAAGTCAGTGTCTTGGTGATACCAAGAGTCAAACTGGTCCACTGTACTTCAACAAGCCAGTATCCTCAGGAGGAACTTGGTTAAAGGTCAGAGGGAAGTTATCCTCCCCTAAATCCTAACTAATATGGCAAATGAGGGATGAAGGATGGGACAAAGAGAGAGGGGGGCTTAAGAATATAAGTGAGGAACTGAGCAGAGGACGTTCCATCATGCTGAGCACACATCACTGAAATTTCTTCATTAAAACAACCATTACATGAGTGCTTCCTATGTTGTTCAAGGAGCCCCACATCCTCCACGGGAGTAAGAAGTGGGACAGATGGAGAAACATCACCACCCCGATTCAGAAGAGTCCACTAGGACTGAGACTCCATTGGTAAGAGTGCTGTCATAGCCCCTGGAATGGAAGTTTACCAAGGCTCCATAATGACACAATTCCTAAAGGACCTGCTTCTGACAGCACCCAAGGAGGAGACTCACTCCGGGGATCATAGACAATCAAACTCATGTCAAGTCTTTGCCAGATCATTCTATTTTCCAAAAAACAAATTGATCTTATCTCAGATAATGAGAATGTGTGAGAGCATTGTTGCTTGATAAGAAATTGGAATAAGATAAAAAGAAACAGAGTGGGAATATGTGATTTTATAGGAACGATTACATGGAACAGTTACAATCACCATGCATTTCCTGAGGGAAGCTTTATTTAGGGACCCCATCCCGTCATCCTGCAAGAGAAACAGTTTATAAAAATAGCAAATTGGGAACAAGGACTTTGCCAAAGAGGCCACACCTGCCTACTGATTTCTCAGCTTTCTGCCCTGAAACCCCGAGGAGGGGGGCGTGTCCTTTTGTCCCACATTTTTATTATCATATGTTAATGGTGCACAATAATGTTTTTTTGTGATACTTTCATCCATATTACCTTTATCACGTTCCTCTATTACGTTCATAATTTATCACTCTGGCTCCATTATCTTTCTTCTCAAATACACTACACTCCTATCTCTCCATATCTTTTACAAAATACCTGCATCCAACAGATGAGAAAAACACACGTGATATTTGTGTCTCTGCTCAGGCTTATTCCACTTAATATGATAATTTCACTCCTATTCATCTTCCTACAAGTTGTAAAGAAGAACTATATTTTTCCTGGAATTCTTTCTGCCATCCAGAAAACATTAAATTTCCTTATCCGTTTATCTCTCACTGGGTACCCAGGGTAACTCCTGCTGGGATATTTTTGTACACCATGTGAAGGTGTGTCTCTGTTCCTCCTTGCCTGACTAAAATATTCTCTGATTGGCTTTAATAATAAAAAGCCAACCTCCTCTATCTAGGCAGGAAAGGGAAGGTGGAACTTCTGGAGGAGATAGGAACTCTAGGAAAGAATGAGCCAAGGAAGGAGTCAGATACAGAGGACCGAGGAGAGGTAACAGTCATTTGGCAAATGTGGAGAAGTATAGATTGGGTTAATTTAGTCATATGAACTAGTATAGAACAAGCCTAAGCTAATGCCCAAGCTTTCATAAATAATAAAATGTCTGAGTGTCATTATTAGGAGCTGGTGGTGGAGACAGTCCAACAGTAGATTCCTTAGCATGTTCATGCTATATAATGCAGTAATAATACTTAGTATGCATGGATCAGTGATAGGATAACTGTTAATTCCTCTTCATAAGATTTATCTTTAGTTATGTGTAAATTCCTATATGTCTGTTTATGTGTCTTAGCATGTGCACATGAAGGTAGTGCCTGTGGAGGTCCAAAGGAGTCAGATATCCTGAAGCAGGAGTTACAGATGGTTGCAATCCACCAACATGGGTCCTGGGAAATAACTTAGCTCCTATGCAAATGCAGTATGTTCTTTTAAGCTCTGAACTACCTCATCAATCCCATAGCTAGTTGTATGTTTGTTCTACTGTAGTTTAAATCTAGGACCGCAAGTGTACTAGGCAGACATTCGGCCACTGAGCTGTATTCTCAACCCCTTACTCAGTTCCTGGAGTTGAGCATACGTTTCACCAGCAAGGATAATGCATTTCAGTTTTAGATTCCATTTCTCTATCGTGTCTGGTATTCCTTTGCTTTCAAAATCAATATATAAAGTATACCATATATATGAGAGTTGTTTGGATGACAAGACAATGTATAATGTATATACAAAACTCACTGAGCACTTCTTAAATATAAAACACTAAATAAGGTATGTTATTTTCCTCTGAAAACTGTGTTCTTTGAACTAATGATATAGATGAGGTCTTTAACAAGCCACGTGGGGAGTCTGAGCAAAATACTAAGTAGGTAGAAGTCCAAAGTGTCACCTGGAGGGCTAGAGAGATGGCTCAGTGGTTAAATTCTTGCTGATTAAGCATGAGGACTGGAACTCAGAACCCCAGAACCCATATAAATGCCAGAGTATGGCAGCTTGTCTGTAATGCTGGCTTCCTAAGGCTGACCCAGGGGATCCACAGAGTAAGTTGGCTAGTGGTTGTTATACTGGTAAGCCGTAGGTTTGGCTGAGAGACCAAATGAGTACGTATTGAGCCTCTGTATACACATACATACACATCACCAACCTATTTATATAAAATATGTGCATAAACATGTGCACATAGCATAAGCTAACTCCCTTTGTCTCTGTCTCTGTCTCTCAAAAGTAGAAACAAATACATCAGTGAAAAATAAAATACAAAACCAAAGAGCTAACTCAAGCACATACTCTTCTACTGGTAGCATGTGGGTGTCCATCAGCTACATTTTACTTAAGGAGCCACTGAATATACTATAACTCACTTACTACGAGTATTCAGAAACTTTCAAATTATCCCATGTAATGAGTATAGCTGGTGGTTGATTTTAATGTCAACTAATACAGTGTGTCATTGCCAAAGAAAAGACATTCAAGAGCTTTAAAGATGATAATATAGAGGTATAAGAGGATGGCAAAAAATAAAAAAAAACACTGCCCAAGAGCATCCCACAGGACTGCGGGCTAGCCAGGGGAAGTTTCTATACTAATGAGGAATTCTATAATGGCCTGGAATAAATGATCAAACTTGCTTAGAAGACAACACTATTAATTTTCTTTGAAAAGTTCAGTGATTCTCCACCTACGATTCCAACTGCCTTCATTTAGCCCACAGATTTGTGCTCATTCAACTGAAGAGAAATAGTGTTTCCTTTTCACGTTATTCATGCTACCCAGGCACTGAAGCTGTAGCAATAAACACGGGGGTACTATTAGAAAGCTGGGAAGTTCTGACCGAACTCACGGGTTGTTTCCACTGTTCAAATGCCATTATGCAGATAACTTTCACATCATTAATTATGGGCGGTTGTAGACAAATGCCAGATGTGTCATTTTTAGTGCAAACTAAGGTTTTGGAAAATAGTATTTCATTTAATAGGATTATAGAAATGTCTGATTAGTGAATGAGTGGCTATTTACTACCCAAGAAATTATTGTTTGGATTCTGTTTAGTACAATCATGTAAAAAGCTATGATGCTGTGTTCCTATATACCATTTTATCAAACATATTACAGTATGCTACTGTGAGAAACACGGGCTGAATGAATCACTGATGGGCTCTAATTTAATTCAAAGCTGCTTGGGAAATGGAACCAGTGCAGTTGCATCTTCAGAGATAATTCAACCAGTGGTCCTGTCAACTCAGAAACCATTTTCAATATTTTTATAACTCCCCTCTTCCTCTGTCACAAAAGTTTAAGTTTCAGAACACCTGGATCCCACTGTCTTTTGGAAGAAAATAGACATTTTAGTAGCAGGTTTTTTGGATGCTTTGCCAATGTGGCAGATGCAGGCAGATGTTTGCTTCCCATCCCAATCTGTATCATGGAGTTTAGAATTTCCATTAACTTCACGGAAGACTAGAAGCAGGGAAGGGGTATATAGAGTGAAGAGAAAGTTGGAGGACATAAAGATGAAAGTCATGCACAATAGGTTTGAAATGATATCTGCCCATGTAGTAGATAAAGTGTCTGACATGTAGTTGGGAACTTTGAGGTCAGCTGGTATGGTAAACTCAGCTTTCTTCCATCCATGTTAAAGAAGGTTATGGAAGTTTAGTCCCTTAACTTAGATTTACATGCATTTTTAAAGTGGATTATACATGTTACATCTAAGTTGGAGGCTGTACGAGATGGCTCTGCAGGTAAAAGTCCTTGCTGAGCGAGGCTAGACACCTGAGGGAGGTACCTGGAAACTGTTATGGGAGGAGAAAGCTAACTCTCAAAAGGCTGTGCTCCAATCTTTGCCAGGTTTTGTAAACTGAAACATGAGAATTCATATGCTTTTATACCTTTTAATTTCTTTAACCAGAATGTCATGGTTTTTCTTTATTGATTTGCAGAGATAACACTTTTTCATCACAGCCTGTAATATATTTAATAGTGTACCAGGATTGATTATGCTCTATAGATACCACACTGCAAGACTGTTGAATGTTGCATTATTTTTGACATTTTAACATTACAAACCAATAGGAATGGACATGGGGTTTTATCTTCATTTAAAGCTTTTAATTTGAGATAAAATTTCCATGGTAAGTATGATGACTGTAATGAGTACTGATATGAAGGAAAGATTTATATATTTTTAACAATTTGCTGTGTTTAAGAGGCTGTGCCTGTGAACCAATACAAACACTCTGAAGTTCACGAGTGGTCCAGGCTTCATGTACCAATCACGTTGGGCTGAGTCACTGCTTTCCTCTCAGGGAACTCGGTAATCATCTTATCAAACACGAAACAGCTTATTTTCATAGCACTTTGCTTCCTGGGGAGATTTGTAATTCTCTCTGAATGAGTTGTTCTTTGCTCTTCGCTTATCCTCGATGTCAGGGAATTTAACATATATTTGTTCTTAGAATATCACATATTTCCCTCACCAAGTCCTAGAACTCACGGTATGGGTGTTGATCTTCCGTTGTGTAGATCTCAGACCCATCCCTGAACAGACTGTATGTCAGCCAGTGGGCATTGGGGAAATCAGGTGGACTCCAGGAGAGATTGATGGCAGAAGAACTTTGAACCCATCCTCTGGGTGGAGGTTGCTGGGACGGAGCTAAATTACAACAGAGAGAGCATTTATTAACAAAAGTAATCGATAAACGCACTAGGAAGCTGAAGTAAGATACTCTCCAAAGTGGCCGTTCTGATTCAGGGTCACTTTTTCAAGAAGACATGTGGTTTACCAAGACATTAATAAACAAAGGATATGCATCACCAGTTCTCTAAGACAAAGATTTTTATCCTACAGGCATAAAACACACTTGTGGCTCAGGGCAGCTGACAAAAATAGGGTTATCAGAGAACCACTAGATATTTAAACATTTCTGCACCTTAGTTTAAAAATTATAACACAAGGATTCATAACGTTTATTTTTCCATTGAATTTAAAAATGGACAGATTCCCTTGAAATTTAACATTAAATTAAATATTTGAATTTAAATTAAAGCAATTCTTTGATGCTGAAGATAGAATTTTTCCATTCTAGCAAACACAAGCTCTTATTTTACTCTGAAGGGACTAATTTCAAGGACTAATGTGTGCTGACATAAATAGATATGGGTGCCAAAAACTAAACATTGTCAATTAAAATGTGAATCCTTATGTGACTAGACTGACACTTGTGAAGGGTGCTTTTGTCTTTAGATTGTTTTCCCTGAACTCATCCAAGCATGGTAGAATATAGAAGTGAACTCAAGAAACCCTATATTTTTCCAACTGGTTATTTTCCTGTTCACCTAATTTTTGAGAGTAAGCTTTGTTATTTTCCCAGAATACAGAGAAGACATAGAAGAAAAAAATAAATCTGAGAAAACACCTACCAAAGTCCAAACTCCACTGACTTTGAGCAAGGAGACTTGATACACTTCTCACTGAACAAGATATCACAGGTATGCACCGTTGAGGGATCTGACTTTAAACCCACCAATCCTTTTGTCAAGAGGTACTTTCAGAAAAGATGCAAAGACCCGAGGCTAATGAAGTAGCTACAGCGACGTTATATAAAACGTCTGAAGTCATCTGATGGCTCTTTCAGGGTCTCAAGATAAAAGACTAATTGCATTGAAAATATGTGTAGCACAGGAAGCGAATGGTCAGAGGACTGTCTTCTAAAAGGTTTAGTGACAGGGCATGGTAAGAATACACTCTTGCTATGTATGAGAGATGCTCTCTAGTTTACTCTGAACCCTAGGGTTTACACTTTCCTAGGAGAGTCACAGCCCACCATGGGGTCCTCTTCTTAACTATGATTTATTGTTACAGAAGTCACAGATTACTGTTGCCCAGGGGAAAATTACCTCAGTGAAATCCAAGGGAACCAGGTGAAAGCTGCTGAGAGCTCTCCCCTGATAGTCTTAGGGAAGCCATACTAAACCTCTTAGTAATTCATTGTGAACTTGTGTGGGAGTAGCGGGGGTCTTCCTAGAAAGGCAAAGGCTTGAGCTCCATTAACAACAGAGGTAACAATGAGAACATAAAATGTGCTACCACACTTGGAAGACACATGAAATTCAGTGCCCGGGTGTCGTTAGGGGCTTTTCACATAGCACATGTATCTGGCACATATCAAAACTGCTAGAAGGAGCAGACCAGCTACACACAAATTCCAGTCTCTATGAAAGTTCCTGTGTCCAAATCTATGCTGTTCTGTTCTGGGAAAAGTGAATGCTCATAAATTCTAAGTTCCTTGATGCCAACCAAGGTGTAGCTTTGTAAGCAGGCCCTTTGAAACTAAGCAGTCATCCTGAATAGACTAAGCTGGGCATGGAGAGGCTTGTAAAAGGGTGTGTCTGATGACCAGAGCTGGGATTTGCAGATATGAGGTCATGATTCTTAGAGAAGAAACGACTCTCCTCCATTTTACTAAACCAACATAATTCCTAACTGCATTCTGAATACTTCCTTATACCTAGAGATAAGTGTACCTCTTGTCCCTCATCAACAAAGCTTTTGTTTACAGTAGGTACAGACAATTATAGAAAACCACACAGGTCAAAGTGCAGAGACTCCTTTTTAAAGAATGAAACATACCAGTGTAACAGGCTCCTTCTGTTGGGGAGTCTGATGTTTGGGTCCAAGCCTAGTAATTTTGCTAGGCCCATGAGTGTATTCAGATATGAACTGGATGCTGAGCCTTTCTTCATTTACATTAAGAACATAATAAATCCATCACTTAGGATCATGAAAAGTGTCAGAGATTCTGGCACCACTGCAAGCAGTGTGGAGAGCCCACATGTTTGGTCTCTCCTTGAGATATCATGCACTTTACAGTATATTGGTCTCATATCCCTTCTTGTTGCAGCATTCCTAAACCTCTGTTTTCATACAATTATAAATAAAATTTTTACTTGATTTTATTTTCAGGGTTAATATTCCTAAATACAAGTGATCTGTGAGTGGTTGAAAAATATGAATATATGCATTTGTATATAGACAGTTTTGTTTAAGTTCACAAATAAAAGTTTAGAACAAGCTATGGTTTACTAGGAAGCAATATAAAAACAACCATTTAATCACCAATTTTTTTCGGCCTCTCTGATCTATGGAGGTGACTAGCTCTTGAAAGGATAAATTAAGTTAACATGAAAAAAGAGACTTGGATGGGAGAGAAATAAGAAGCCAGAGAGGGCCTTATATGTAATCCACTGCAAGAAGTTAGATTTGGAAGTTAGATCCCCAGGACCCCATGGGGACTTCTTGTCCAGAGAAACCCTTACTACTTTCATTATATACAATCTGCTATAACTGGAATTTAGATCCCAGGACTCAAAGAGGATGTCCTGTCCCTCTCCCAGCTAGTCACAGATGCTGTTGGTAAGCTATCATCAGTATGTTTCCAGGAAATAGGAAATATCATCAAAGGTGATAATCCTATAGTGACAGCCTGTGTGAAGGACACCATGAGCTACTTAGAATTTCCAGGAAAACCTTCAGACACCTGTTATGCATAGGCAAACAACAACCAGAAGCAGCTCCCAGCTTTAATAATAGCTACCACACTAATGTCCATCTGTCACCTCACATTCTTGTGATGTTGGCTGTTCTCACTGGCTATATAGAATAGAAAAGCAAGTTATGGAGCCCACTAGTTCCAACACTCTCCCTTTTCCTGCTTTCCCCTTTCTTACTCCCTTTCTCCCCTTCCCCAGCTCCCTTAAATGTTGAAAGTGTGGTTCCAGGTAAGTCATTGTTTCAAACAAACAGACTGACTGTGATATCATCACACAGGGAACTTCCTAGCATTTTGATTCATGACACACCAACAGTCCCATTAGGACAGTATGCACAGCACAGCATACTGCAGAGGGTTGCTATCATATGTTCCCAAGAGCCACCTTCTAGGAATTCTGGGAATATATGGTCTTAGAATAAACACAGAAATACAATCCATATAGTTGTGATTATATAACATAGTTATAAAGTGAAGAACTGCAGGTGACCTTCAGAGGTCAACATAAGACACTGTAGAGTGCTGGAAAGTCAAAGCATGCCAAATGCCATATTTGTATAAAATAATTAAAATTATAAAGTGGGATGCAGACTCATGGTTAATATTAAGAAGAAAGTAGCAAGAACAGAATATCAATAAGACCTTGGTATTCTGTAAACATAATAACTATTAAATTATATTATTAATAAAATATTAGAAAATGTTCATAAAACTGATTATAGAAGAACATGAAACTTACAATAAATAACAAATCTTCTATTTGTTATAGTAAATTACATGGAAATACGTTTGTGAGCTAGGGTGACTAATCATTTTTGTTTGAATAGAAATATCATGATTTTAACAGTAAATGTTGACATTCTCGGGAAAAAAATCACCTTGTCTGGAGAAAACTGGAATTGTTTTTGGTTTTCTTTCCTTTGCTAGTGACTTTATTCCAACAAACTATTGTCAGTATTTTACTACAGCCTTGTCATTCAAGAAATTTTAATTCTTTAATCAAGGAAAAGCTCACAGATTTCCTTTAGTGTAGCTAACAAACTCACCTTAGTCTAACTCTTCATACTGGGCCTATATATGCCTTTGTATATAGACAATCTTGTTTAAGTTCACAAATAAAAGTCTTTTTAGTGACTTCTAATGGCAGAAAGCATTGAGATCCCCCTCCCAGGGCCCCGTCACTCACATGCCGGCAATGGGCCAGGATGGACTTACTTTTGCTGCAGCCTAATAGATTGTTGATATCCAAATGACTTGCCCCAGGGACACAAACATCACATTTTGAGCCAGTGACAAATTCCTTGCAGAAACACTGGCCTGTGACCGCATCACATGTTTCATTCGAGGCTCCTGCTAGATGACAATGACAAGGCTGGCATCTGAAGACACATATGGAAAGTCAGAAGAGTGCTTTAGTTAATAATTCATAGGATATGTCATAACTATCAATAACATTGTGGTTGAACACAGCTGGGTTTTGCCAATGTATTGGAAAGGATGCTTGCACTGCACAAGGACACGGTAAAAGGAGACAGAAAAAGATCTTTATCAAAATGTTGCTCACACTTAAATTCATGTAAAGATTTTGCTGATGTCCATGGGATAATGGCCTAAGATGAGGCCTAGGGAGATGGATCAGTTGGATCAGTTGGTAAAGAACTTGATTAGTACCAAGTATGGGAACCTGAGCCTCGATCCCCAATGCCCATGTGAAAATCAGACAAGGTGGCAAGTGCCTGTGAGGTCAGCATTCAGCGATGGAGTCGGAAAGGTCCTTGGGCTTGTTACCCAGGCAGTCTAGAAGAACTGGTGAACTCAAAGTTCAATGTGAGACCTGACTTCAGAAAGTAAGGTGGAGAATGACTAGGGGAGTTATAAAAAAAGTGGCTTTTGGCCTCTATACATAGACAGACAGACAGACAGACAGACAGATAGGGAGACAAATACAGACAAACAGGCAGGGAGGCAGACAAATACAGACAAACAGACACACACAGAGAAACACACAGACACACACAGACAGACACACACAGAGAAACACACAGACAAATACACAGACACATACACACACACACACAGATACACACACATGACACACACACAGACACAGACACACATACACAGACACACACAGGACACACATACAGAGACACACACACAGACAAATAAACACATACACAGACACATGACATACACAGACAGACAGACACACTCATACAGACACACACGACATACACACAGAGAGACACACACACAGGCAAATACACAGATACATACACACACACGCACACACAGACAAACACACAAACACACACACAGACACATACACAGACACACACATGGTACACACAGACAGACAGACAGACAGACAGACACACACACACACACAAACACACAAATATGAATTATACTCTAGCCAACAGCCATGGTGGTGGACTCCTGCAATCTCAGAATGTGTGAATCAGAGGGAGAAGGATCAGGAGGAGTTCCCAGTTACACAGTGAGTTTGGTAGTAGCCTGAGCTACAAGAAGCTTTGTCTCAACAACCCCCTCAACAGCTTTTACGTATCATGGTGCTTTGTCATGATTACCTTTAACACAAACTATGCAGTTCAATGAAAATTGTATTTTCTTACAATAGAAGTTCTGCTGTCAGCTAAATGTTTAAATTAGGTACTTTTAATTTAAATATCCAGTTACAACATAGAAACTAAGAATGAGCCATTGCTCTCCCTAAAACTCTTCAAATTCTATATTTAGTTCAAAAAGGATAAATCTTGCTGACATATTTAGATAGATTATAATTATTGTTGGTGCTTTGTATGGGTTGCATTTATATTGTGGGCACTGTGTATTGGTTTCATTTATTTTTTGCTTGTTTCTGTGATAAAATGTCTCATCATCCTATAACATCAGCCCCTTCACAGAGATCAGAGTAATTGACTTTTCTCCAGCCTCATATGGATAAACATGGGCCAACAAAAGCACCTTAAAAGACAAATGGTCAAATCTGGCCCCCAGTGGAAGAGGATCATCCATTGTGACTAGAAGTCAAGGTGCAGAAGCCTAAAGCAGGAGGTCATACCACACTACATCCAGAAAGTAGATGCCTGTTACACAGCTCTCTTTCTCCATTATACACTCAGCATCCCGGCTAGGGAATGGTGCCACCCACAACATGGAAGTCTTCTGGTCTCAATGAACACATCAGCACAATCTGTATAGGTCCATCTCCCACAAGATACTAGATTCTGTCAATAGGACAATTAGCATTAACTATCGTTTACCCAGATATGACTGGAGAAATGACAGTTACCTTGATCTCTGCGAAGAGACTAATATTATAGAACAATCAGGAATTTTCAGTGCAATGTACAAGCTCTTAGACCTAGAATCATCTGTAATATTTGCAGTACTCACTTTCAGCAGTGATAGAGAAGGAAGGCTTTCTCTTTGGGGTGAATTATTTACATGCATGGCATTTCATTAGGCTAAGCAGTCTGGGCATTAGAAGGATTAGAGACGTAAGAGTAGCCCCTGAAAGACTGTTGAAGCAGGGACTTCCCATGTGGTACATTGAAAGCACACTAAATAGATTCCCCTGTTTATTCTATAGAGAAACTGGTGGACATGGTGACTTCACCCTACTGCAAATTTTATGGTGTGATCTCTTGGGTAATCATTCAACACCCTTAAAAAGGCCGATAAAAGCCAAAGCTGCAAAATAAGCTGAAAATTTGTTTGATGGGTGAATCTGCCGTTGGGAATAAAGCACGTTTTCTCCTGAAAGCGACAGTACCATAGTTGTCCTTTTTGTGGTTCCGGTAAAAGGACTTTATCCCTGCAAACAACACTGGTGGTCTTTATCTGGACATGGACACTAGAATTTCTTCCCCAATAGATATTTTTTTAAGACAAAATATTAGAAATGAGAAAAATTATGCATTGAAGTTAAAACAGAATCATAGAAGCAATGAGATGCCTGATTTGATCTTAATTCATTACGTGATAACACTTAGAGTATATTATTTCTACGCTTCGATATAATAATAGTTAAAAATAGTGGCCTGAGCAGTAAGAGGCAGCTTCCCCCACCCCGCCTCTTTCTATACATAAATACCACTTTCTATACATACCACTCATGAGTGAGTGTCTCTTGAGTGTTTCAGTTTTTATTGCCATTTACTCAGGGGACAATCACACTTACTTTACATACAGTGCAGTTAGAGTAATGGCTTGCAGAGTGTAACGTAATTCCATGTCTTGATGAAGCTCTATTTCCTTCCAGCCGACTGCCATCCACACATCTCAGAGTCAACTATGTCAATATCCATGGGATATTAAGTTCCAAATCCAAATGGAATAAATAAATCACTTCTTGGGAAAGCAAGCAATGTTTTGAGTAATTAAATGCATCTATTCCTGTTTTATTGTTTCTTCTCCCACCCGCTGTTGTATCGAACATATCCAACTTGTTATAATTGCTTAGTTTCAGTTAGCGAGAATTTTCCTTAAGTGAAATTCATCAGAGCAGATTTTCTAGAATATTACAGTTTGCAACCAGCCCAAAGGACACAGAGGATAATACTGCAATTAAGGCTTAAATGAAATGATTCCTTTAAATTTCTCAGCCACCCAAATACAATTTCAAACATTTCAAAGACTCTTTAGCAAATAAGCCACAAGTTTGAGAGCAGTTTTTCTAATGCCCCTCCTTGGAGTATCAACCAAATGAAATATAATTCACATTTATTAAAACAAAATTAGACACAATAAAGGAGAAGACATCTTAGGCTTCGAAAAGAAGCAACAAACTAAGATGAATTGTGATATTGATTTTGCCAGGATAAATGGTTTTCGTAATATTAATATAAAGAAACCTTTATTGCACAGACTCTCCTGGCACAGCCTGAGCTTCTCCTGCAATCTGTTTAAAATCTTCATTTTTCATCCTTATGGGAAAACCTCAGTTGCTAAATGGATTTCATAAAGAGTAATCTGTCAAGATTTATATAGATAAACAATTTGTGATGTTTATTGACCAGTTCATTATGATAAACAAAACAGGAGTGGGGGGGAGTGCTCTGCTCCTGTCTGCCAGCACATGGCTGCTATGCTCTTACCCCCTCTGCAAATCACTGTTTACCAGGTACACTGAGGGGATAATTGTCTTCTGTCTCTTAAATGACAAATCTCCTCTATTGTGCTTTCCTGGGGGTTTCTTTTACTTATACAAATAGCATCCTAATTATTGTTATTGAAGAACCATTATTCATAATGAAGACCATGTGCTTCAGGACTGATGATAACTGCTGGGAAGTTTGTCTGAAGGGATACAGGGAGACAAGTCACCTGTCTTTGGTTGGGGACCTCAACTCAAATGTTCATGAAAGTGACTAACACAAGGAGTGACATAAGCACCCTTTACTGAGGCCCAGTTATGTTCTTAAGTGGGAATCCACACTGAAAACATAATAAGGAGTGTTATGTCTGCTCCTGTCCTCAAGGAGTGCACGGGCGACCGTGAAGGAAATCATGAGAGTAGAAGCTGGCAGTTAGGGATGCACTCTGGTTGTGTGTGTGTGTGTGTGTAGCACAAGATTGAGAACAAGTATGGGCAGGGCCTAGGGAGAGTACCAGCTGAACATCTCTAATATGAAAAAGTAAAGACTGAAATGTGAAATCTAAAACTGTTTATGATAGGATGACTCAGGTGGAAAACCCCACATCTCATCTGATGGGTCACAGTCAGAATACAGGGGCATTTGATATATAGTACTGAGTACATTTAGGCTTTGTAGAGTGTGTGTGTGTGTGTGTGTGTGTGTGTGTGTGTGTGAGAGAGAGAGAGAGAGAGAGAGAGAGAGAGAAAGAGAAAGAGAGAGACAGAGAGAGTCAGACAGAGACAGAGAAACAGAGAGACAGAGAGACAAACAAAGTCAGACATAGAGGCAGAGGCAGAGATAGCAGAGACCGACCAACAGAGAGATGCGTGGATGTTAGTGTGTGTGACTGTACAAGTCCACATATGTACATGCAGAAATTAGAGAAACAAGCGAATCCACCTCCTCTATCACTCTCTTCCTTATTCCATTGAGACAGGGTTTTTCATTGAACTGGAAGTTTGTCATTTCCTCCAGTCTGACTGGCCTGGCATCTTTCAGGATCTGCCTATGTCTGCCCCCAGTACTACAATTACAGCCTTGTGCTGCCATACGCAAACTTTTATATGAGAGCAGAGGAATGATAACAAAAGTCTGAATGCTTGCACAGTGTCATGGTTGTTTCTCAGACAACTGGACACAAGCTTAAATCATTTGGGAAGAAGGAACATCAACTGAGGAAGTGCCCCCATCATACTGGCCTGTGTAAAAGTCTG